GTGAGAATGATATGATGATATTGCGGACAATGCGTCATGATGAATCATCGTTTATGGAAACAACAATTTTGAATTTGCTATTCATGAATGATTTTCAAATGTTAAACCTCATTCCCACTTGTGGAGCTAAATGTGATTCTATAAAGAAAATCTTATCAGAAACATTATTCGAATAGCAAATGAAACTTTGGCCATGGCCATGATTTTGTGCACTACTTTTATTAAGAAAAAGAGAGAAGAGATTAGTTGTTTTCTTAAAATCCAATTTGTTTTTATGTGCACGGGAGGAAAGTAAAACAGGTTTGGGAGACGGGACAAAGGCAAACATTCAAATCCTTCAGAATGCTCAGCTATTGGTCAGTTTTTCATAGACAAGACATATTCTGCATTTGCAGAGGACCAAAAGAAAGTGATTTACAATGATTAATCAATCCTAAAAATAGTGTCCTTTATCAGAGACCCCATAAACTGAAAAAAAGAAACTTGTACTTTTGTTATTTCACAGATGATACGCTTTTTGACTGGCACAAAAAGAATTTTCCACAAAAAGAGGGATTAAGCTTATAGAAAATAATAGATATCTTCGCGTTCGAGCTTTCCGCAAAAATTCAATGCATATAAAATTGCAGAACATAAGAAAAGACTTTTGATCAAGTACATAAGACTTCAGAATAAAATAAAAAGCTCAGTATCAAATTTCTAGAAAGCGCAGGTAAATGATGTTTTCCACATTCTTTTTTTTTCAGCTTTGGTGGGTTAGTATCACAACTAAATGGGCAAACCCCTCAAAATAGTTCGGCTGGTACGAAGCTATGGTTTTTTTCTAGTCAACAAATTGTTAAATTACGAGAATCTACATTCATTGGAGACTAACCCAGAAAATACGCAGAATTACCCTACTTTGACATCCATTTCATTCTAAAAACATCCTAAAATGTGACCACTATTGCCTCTACTTATCCTCTGACACATATTGGTGGGCCGAAATAACGGTGCGTGGATAATTTCTTTGTGACGGGATGTTTTTGTTAGTGTAGCCTTCTGTCGTAACGAGTGGTTAGGTAGGGAAGGTGGAGGGAGACGTTGAGCAAACAATGCTCAGATGACTCTA